CTGTAAGAGAAAAATGTGGTTGGGTGGAGTATGTGTGTGTGCGTGTGCGTGTGTGTGTGTGTGTGTGTGTGTGTTCAGGCCCTGAGGGCTCGGTCACACCGATTGAAGGGATAAACGTTCTAATCAATACTTTCCAAATAGGAACATGACCCTTATGGACAACTGCTGTGCTGCCTGAATGGGAGAGAGGGAGGGGGAGGAGGAGGAAGCCTAATTAAGTGTTTGGGTGGGGGAGTGAAATGAACGTTTTTGTGTTGTGTGCAACTGAGCAAAAATCATGATCCCAACGAATGCATGTGTGTGTCCTCTTTAACAGAGTGCTCTCCTCAGAAAAACCCAACAGAAAGACGAGGAGGAGGACAATTTAAAAACATTTCAGACCCAATTTACTTTAAATTTACATCTTGACTGTTTGACTCTCAGCTACTACCGCATCAGATTTTAACTAGCGTAATTTATCTGTGAAACTGACAGTTTCTCTTGGTTGTGGTGGCCATCTTGAATTTGTTTGACTGTACAAGTTAATCAGTTGTAGATGTACATCTAACAAATACTTCCTGAAAACTTCACTAGAATTCAGCCAGTGTTCCATAAATAACTGGATAAAAATTATTTGGTATTTTAATGTCAGCTGGTTGAGGCGGCCATCTTTAATCAGGTTGACCTAAAGAGTTAAGCATTTTTATACATCCAATGATTACTTTCTGCAATTTAAGAAAAATGTGTCTACTTGGTCATGAGATATTTTGGCGACTAAAACACACAAACTAAGCAAGAACGTTTTCATCCAACTTCTTTCTGTCATGAGCGTCCATTAAAACATAAATATTCTTACTTCATGTTCCACAACTCAACAAAGCATTTTTTAAATCAACTGTCAGTCAGGAGAAATAAAATAAAAAACAAAACTATTCACTAACCAGAAAAATAAATTGCGTTGTTAAACTGTAAAGTAATGTGTACACGACTCCTAAGATGCGAACAAGTCTGCCATTCCGGCTGAACCTCTGGAAAACATTTTAAAACTCCCTCAATTAGATGACTTCAACAGGAATTGTGTCAGCTGGGTTTAAAATCTGCTACAAAAAAATGGGGAAATTAAAGAGAAACATGCATGAAAACCATTTAAGAMAAAGCTTTGGATGAACAACAAAAAGTCACGTTTTAAACAATGAAACAAAACAATTTTTATATCTAATGCAGAGCAAAATTAGATCACTCTTGCATATAAACGGAGATATTAGCTGATAAAAATAATAAGTCAGACAAAGCACTGTAATAGTTTGAGGATTATAAACACAAAGCTGAATCATCACTCTGCTCTGGATAATGAGATCAAACTGAAACCGTTTAGTGCTGAAAAATACAGACTGTGTGAAGGAAACACTTCCACAGTCACTGACGATATAGTGAAAATTATTAAAGTACAGTAACATGGAGTTAAATACAAACGACGCTGACATTTTCAGCTGTCTAAGAGTTTCTGGAACACCTGCCTTTGCACGGTGCAAGGAGAGGTAGAGAAAAAAAATCGCAGCAAGTAAAGACTCTGACCACACTTAGTCGAAAAACAAACTTTGTTAGTTGACCAACACATTTTACTGAAACAAAATGTTTTACTGGCCACATAATATAGATTTTAGTAAACTAATCACTAACTAGGTCCTTGTTAACATTCAGATTATTGTCTTATTAACTCTTATATAAACAGCAGGTAGTAACTATAGCTCTAAGAAGACCACTTTACTCTCAGACCCCTTAAATACTAATTCGATGTCCAAGAGTTTGAACGCTCAGAATGTAAACAACTCATCCAAAAGATCAAGAATCATCAGGTCAGCATGCTAATTTAGGTAGAATGGTCTAAAAATATGACTTTAGGTCAGGACATGAAGAAATTTTCTGGTCTCCTTAATGCTACACTATTTATTATAACACACCTCACTATGTACCAGGCTGTATTATCTGTGTAGTTAATTGTTCTGTTTCTGAATAACATATTTTTACAATGAAAATACTAATAATTATTAATTTTCTTGAAATAATCTACTAATTAAACATCTAAAATCTCCACACATTTCAAGGCTTACCTCATTTTTTAAGGCTGGAGATTAAACCAAACCAGAAAATTTTCAACCAATAACTTTTAAATGTGGCTGAGAAATGTCTCGTGTTATTAATACTCCTCTCCACTCATTGTAGTGTGGATTTGGAACATATCAACTAAAACAGCCACCTGTTCTTTTCTTCAGAGCATTAAAAACTTATCGGGCCAGTGAGGTTGGAGCGGTCTTTCTGGATTTCAAACAACGCTTCATGATGTCTTGTCAAAACTCTCTTGTTTTTCAAACAGAGCCCTCTGCTGGATGAAATCACTTTTATCTAATAAAATAAAACTGTAAAAAAAGAAAAAAAACTTCACTGTATCTTAACTGCTCACCTAGGGTCCCTCAAGGCTCTGTATTGGGGTTTTTTCAGTCTTTATGGTAAAAATTTACCAAATGTTTGTTCAAATGTAAAATTATTCTCTGTGTAAATGATACAAGAATGTATACACATACTGATGCCAGTATACGAAGCTGCTGCTGTGTTATCTGCAGCCATAGTTCCAGTTTCTCACTGCTTTAAACTCATCTTTACATCTTAATACACATCAGTCAGTAAAAACTTACAAACAATGATCTTATCTCTGTCTTATGACCTGGCCCCATGCAACAGAAAACGAGATAAAACCTCTCTAGTCTCTCAAAAAGACAATCAAATCTTGGACAGGCAACCTTTACTTGTTCTCTGTTGTGATATCATCAGTAAGTTTAATATTCTAGACTCTGAAAAATATTGTTGAGTTACCCATTATGTTTTTAAGGTTTAAATTAACTTTCCCCCACCTTTAGATTATTCTATGCAGAAGTATAATCCAGAATAAACACCAGAGCTTGAAATACAAAGGCTTGAGGACTGCTCAGTTAATTCTGGCACATTTACATTCATATGTTATACTATGTTGGTTAATGTAAATTGTCCTAATTCAAGCGATTTAAATTAAAAACATTATTTTGTCTGTTAATAGTAAAGAGTAGATGTTAAATATTATGATTCTAATCAGCTCTGCCCAGTATGTGTCTTATGATGTACAAATAAAACACATAGTTTTTCTGCCTTAATAACATCCAAAGATAAAATATTTTATGGAACAAAAAATCAAACTTGTTAAGGTCAAAGAAATAAAGAACGAGCTCTTTTTAACTTAAAACATGTTTCTTATTCTGAAGGGAGAATTTGCTCCAAGCTGATTCATTAATAGTTTAATTGAATACCCAATAATTTAAAATATAAAGGTTGCTTTTTTTCTGACCTGCATGGATTCCTTCTGTAAACTGTGAAAGATGTATTGTTCTGTAGTTTTAAGGTTCTGTTTTAGTTTTCAGTCATTAAATTCAAGGATCAAAAAACTTTCAACCTGAAGTTAAACTCCACAAAAAAGACACCAACATTTTGTCAAAATGTGTTAAACATTCATTATCCTCCACTCAATAATGAAATGTGAAAATGATTATTTGATGAATATATTATTAAATGAAACATTTTTTTCCACGTATGTCAGAAAAAAATTATAAAAAGACACCAACACCTTGTAAATGATTTTTTTTTTACTTAATAGAAACAAAATTTGTGGTTTCATTCAAAATTAGTTTCAAATTGTTGCATTATTTGGTTTTACAAACCAAATAAAATAAACAAATTATTAAGTATCAAACAATTAATGATGTCGCTTTGAGTGAAACCTCGCCTTTGAGTGGAGAAGACGTTTTGAGGAAGAACAATATTAATTGTTGCTTTAGCTTTAAAAGCACTTTTAGTTTAGTATTTTATTACTTGAAAAGGTCATTTTTTGAAATGTTAAGGGAAAAAAAACAAAACCTCTACAGTTTCCTCACAGAGGTTTCAGTCTTGTCTTTTGAGTGGGCTTCACAGAAGCAGGTGTGATGCAGGTGAAGGTCTGCACATTTTTGCAAGTCATTCACACAAATAACAGCTTTGATTTTCTGAAACTTGGCCTCACGACTTGTTTACAGTATAATTCAGTGTGACTGCTACAGAAAAAAGACCCTTTTCTCACACTTTGAAACCTTCAACTAGTCTCTTAACAGTCTCAGCCCAGTGAGCTGTTCCCTCAGACACTGATGTTTTCAACAATTCACACATTCTGTCAACGCTGAGATTGTTTGGATCTGCTAAAACCCATGAAGTAGTCCTGGTAAACTCAGTGCAAACAGATTTTCTGCAGTGCTGATAGAAAGAACTTCTCCTGAACACAGACTCATGAGGAGTCATGCTGGCTTGTGTTACTGGCTTGTCTTTAAAAGCAGTCAAACGAGGAGATGTTCAGGAGTGACATCTGGGCCTCTTTCATTTGTCTACCTGCCTCACCAGGACTCCTTCTAGCACTGCAATTAGACCAATCCATTCACACTGCCCATCCAGATTTTCTCTTCTCAGCCTTTTGTGAATGCCGCAGAGCTATTTGTTCC